GGGAGGTGATGCACTCCATGGTGGCAGAAGCCCAGGCTCCTTCTATCTTGTTGCTCTGCCATCCTCCACACAGGGTTTCCACCTTCTGGCCCAGCGTGGCTACTCTCTCCAGCAAGACGGAGAAAGAGCAGGATGGAGGGCATGTCTCCTGCAATTAAGAACACTTCCCAGAAGTCTCATACGCCACTTCTGCTTACACCCCATGGACCAGAACTTAGTTACCCGGCAACAACTGGCCATAACGAAGGTCTGACAATACCGACTTCATTTCCAGCAGCCACACCCCCAGCTGAAAACCGGGGGCTCTGTTGTTAAGGAGGACACAGGTATGAGTGTTTTGCTTTCAGAATGTGTCTGCCCTGCTCTCTAAAATTGATTCATGATTGGAAATGTCTCATCCTTCTGACATACTCTTGAGCCCTCTGTAGAGGAGATTAATACACACTGAGGGAAGACAACCAAATGCTCATCAAAGACCCAATTTCTAAACCAAATAATCAATGGTCTTTCTCTGAGGCAAGGTCTGGTTGTGTGTTCTTGGGCAAATCAATTACCTTCCCTAAGTCATATGACCTTGGGCAAGTCATTTGACCACTGTAAGCCCACTCTCTATCAGTTAAATGGAGATAAGAATAGAATAATATCTGCCTCATAGGGTTGCTGGGCAGCAACATCATGAGAAACATGAGAAATTCATTTTCATAGTAGATTTTATTTGACCCAATATATCCAAGCTATTAACATTTTAACATGTAATAATTTAAATTGCTAACAGGATATTTTGTGCTCTGCTTTTCATACTTAGACTTTGTCTTTTTTCTTCATTTTTACTGAAGTATAGTTGACTTACACTGTTTCAGGTATATAGCAAAGTGATTCAGTTATACATATACATATGAATATACATATATTCTTTTCCAGATTCTTTTCCCTTATAGGTTATTACAAGATATTGAATATATTCCCCTGTGATATACAGTAGGACCTTGTTGTTTACCTATTTTATATACTGTAGTGTGTATCTGTTAATCCCAAATTCCCAATTTATCCCTCCCCTGCTCCTTTCCCCTTTGGTAACCATAAGCTTGTTTTCTATGTCTATGAGATTCTATTTCTGCTTTGTAAATAAGTTCCTTTGTACCGTTTTTTTAGATTCCACACATAAGTGATATCATATGGTATTTGGCTTTCTCTGTCTGACTTACTTCACTTACTCATACTTAGACTTTGAAATCCAGTGTGTGTTTTACATTTACAGAACATCTCAGTTCAGACCGGGCACATTTAAAGTGGCTGCTGGCTACTGAGGTAGATAGTACAGGTCGAGGTTAATTTACGTGCCCTTTCTGGGTGCTCCCCTAGCACCCTATCCTTACAAGGGAAGAAGTAATCCTTCCCATGGCAAGTATCTGTTTACTTGTCTTATCCGCAAGCAACTCCCTTGAGGACAGGAAAAGTGTGGTCTCCCCAGGGCCTAACATAGTACCTAGCACAGAGCAGACACTCAATCAGTACTTGTTAAACAAATACTATTCATTTCTCTATGCCCAATAGCCAAGCCCAGTGCTTGACCCTCAGTAGACATTTAATAAAGATGTATTAAATTAATGAAGTAACGACCCGGAATGGTAAGTTGGATTTGTGACTTGTCAGCAGGTGAAAATCAGGCAGTTTATTGCAGAGGAGACAATGGTACCTTTCTAGCCCTCAAAGTAACACCTGCTGTTAAGTCATGTTTCCTTCACCACCTCCTTCCCCCTAAACAGAACTGGAGCCAGCTGGTAGGCCGTGGGCCCGCACATTCCAGTAAGATCACACAACGCCTGGCCTGCAATGATAAGGAGGCAGATCAGGTTCCCATGAACAAATAAAATGAACTCCCAGCTAAGGCTTAATCTCTCTAGTTCACAGTATTCTCTTTCTTTCAAGATTGACTTAACACAGTGCAGGGTGAGAGGTTCTGAAAAGTTGCTAGCCTTTGTGCAACAGAAATCTAGGGAACTTGACAAAAATACCAATAAAATTCCTAATGATGGGACATGTCAGCCTCAGCAGCACCACTAGCTAGCACGATGCCCCGAAGCAACTTGTGGCCCTTCCTTGATCATGAACTTCCTCATCGGTAAGCTGGGAGTGACTACACAGCCTGCTCTGGCCCTGCAGTTGCAAAGACCCTGTGAGACCAGAGCTTCCTGCACATGCCCAGTGAGGGCGAACTTGCCTTGTCCCTGCAAGGCTCTCCTGAAGGGCCTTTGCAAAGTGAGACTTAGCATCATTTTTGTCTTGCCAATCAGCCACAGGCTGGATGATTTCCTTAGAGTCATGTAGAGCTTTTTTCCCCCTCCTTGTGGACAACTGAAACACAAACACTATTTAGAAAGATCTGGGCCGAGTCATCTCTTTGGAGCCTGGTGGCAGGCCAGGAGGCTGGTCACAAAGGCTGCATTCAGCTGCATACAGCAGCCTGATGGGCAGAGGCCTTGTCCCAAACATTCTTTACTAGGCTTGGTGGGGGAGTGGGGGTGGGGAGGTGTCACCGGCCTCCCAATATTTGTTGTTGTGTCTCCATGGCAACTGCGTTGGCCATAGTGAAACCTTGAAACTGCACATCAAAACTTGGGAGGTGCTGCAAAGACAGGCCTGACTGGGAGAAGGTTTTCTCCTGCACCTTTCCCTTGCTCTCTAACGGGAGAGTTTTCCGGGCTCCTTTCAAAAGGCATTAAAGAGAAGCTATTATGTTGGCTGCACATCGCCTACTGCCTGCTCTAATGAAAGCTGTGTGCGCAAAGACTGTACCAATTGCCCAGGACAGCTTTTAAGAGACACCAAATCGAGCAGCCCCTTGTCTGCAGAGCTTAGCAGCATGTTGTACTGACTCTGGTTCTGGTGCTGGACAGTAATACCACTTACCTGAGCAACCTTGGGCAAGTCAATTCCAGTCACTGAGCCCCTTCCTCAGCAAAAAAAAATTTAATTTAAATTAAAGCCAATTCCCAATCCAGTAAACTCTTATTGATGCCTACTCTGAACTAGATGCTGGAATTGCAAAATTAAAAACACATGGCTATTCAAGACATGGCAAAAACCTAAGTGTCTATCACTGCATGAGTCAATGATGAATGGATAAAGAAAATGTGGTATACACTTACAATGAAATATTATTCAGCCATTAAAAAAAGGAGGAAATCCTGCCATTTGCAACATAGATGGACCTTGAGGGCATTATGCAAAGACAAATACTGTATCATACCACTTATATGTGAAAGGTAAAACAAACAAACTTAGAGACACAGAGAGCAGACTGGTGGCTGCCAGAGACAGCAGCTGGGATGTGGGTGAAATGGGTGAAGGGGGTCAAGAGGTACAAACTTCCAGTTTTAAGATAAATAAATCCTGGGTAGGTACCACACGGCGATTACAGTTAATAATATTGTATTAATATACAATATTTGTTGTATATTTGAAAGTTGCTAAGAGAGTAGGACTTAAAAGTTTCCAACATGAGAAAAAAATGTCACTATATTCTGTCATGAAATAAACAAATAAATAAAGAACAAAGCATGAAGGACTGAAAACAAACAAAAAACACACGGCTGTTGAGGGGAAGGGATAATTTGGGATTAACAGATACATACTACTATACATAAAATAGGTAAACAACAAGAACCTACTATATAGCACAGGGAACTATATTCAATATCTTGTAATAATCTGTAGTGGAAAAGAATCTGAAAAAGAATAGATATATTTATATGTATAACTGAATCACTTTGCTATACACCTGAAACACCATAAATCAATTATACTTCAATTACACACACACACACACACACACACACACACACACGCACGCACGCACATTGCCCTCAGGGAGCTCATGTAAATTACCAAGCAGAGCTGTATTAAATAGTAGGTTGGATCACACCCCGTGCCCCCTGCCTGGTTCCCAGTGGAGATCAGTCACCCTATAAAAGTTTCTTTCCCTCCATTCTTCATCCTGGGCTACTCCAAACAAAGGCCCCCGAGATGAACAAGATCCCATGTACTTTCATAACATTACTCTCGTATCTGAGATATATTTACCAATTTGGACAAAATGGGGAGGAACTGATCTTTCGTTGATTTTATACATTACAACATGCTTTCACAATCCATGCCTCTTTGGATTTTCTTAACTGTCAGCTGAACTTGGAAGGCCATGACATTGTTTCCACTCTAGACGGAAGGTGCTGAGGCACGAAGAGAAGTGATTTGCCCGGGTCACAGAGGGAATTAGAGGCAGAATTGGGATTCGAACATTCATTTCCCAACTTCTTCTTTCCAAAAATATTTATTGAGCAGCTACTACATGCCAATATTGTTCTAGATACTGGGGTTAAAGCAGTGAACAAAGCAAACTTCTGTTAAAGAGCTTAAGTTCCAGAGGAAAAAGCAGACTGTTAACAATCACATAAATGCTTACTCTGTCAGAGAGTGAGAAGCACTACTGAGAAAAAACAAGCAGAGGGAAGAAAAGAGTGATGCTGAGTACCAGTTTCTATAGAGTCATCTGGGCAGTCCTTTCCGAGGAGACCTGAGAAAAGCGAAGAGCCAGCCACGAGGGTACCATAGTGGAAGAGTATCCAGCTAGAAGGGAGAAGAAGGCTTGAGGTCCTGAGGTGGGAACACGCTGGCATGTTTGTGGAATAGGCAGACGACCAGTGTGGCTAGAACAAAGAGAAGGGGGTAGGAGACGGACAGGAGTAGAAGCCAGAGAAGAAGTGGGCGGGGCTTCCCTGGTGGCGCAGTGGTTGAGAATCCGCCTGCCGATGCAGGGGACACGGGTTCGTGCCCCAGTCTGGGAAGATCCCACATGCCGCGGAGCGGCTGGGCCCGTGAGCCATGGCCGCTGAGCCTGCGCGTCCTGCGCTCCGCAACGGGAGAGGCCACAACTACCTCAAAATAAATAAATTAATTAATTAATTAATTAAAAAAATTTAAAAAAAAGAAAGAAGGTGAGAATTGGACCTTCCTTCCCTACTAGACCTCTTACCTTTCGTATGAGGCAGGAGTTTCATATTATTTTGTAAATATACCTTCCTGATAGTATAGTGAGTAAAGAATTTTTTCCTTTTGTTTTTAATTTGTGAAAGATAAAGGAGCAAGGAAGAAAGGAATAAAGATTTATTGAGTGCCCACAGTGTTCTAGGCACTCTGCTAGGCACAGTTGCATGAACTAGCTCTTTTATAGATGACCAACGTGATTAGGAAAAAGTTGCATGTTGTACATAGAGTCATCAACACTGCCATTGAGTTAAACAGTCACGTAATGGAATGGGATGCTTCATACAGTAGTGAGCTTCCCATCGGTGGAGGTATGTAAGCGGAGTGTGGACAATGTCTATGGAGAACCCCAACATTATCAGGTTTTATCACCTATGGTCTAATCCAATCCTGGGAGAACCCCAACATTATCAGGTTTTATCACCTATGGTCTAATCCAATCCTGGGAGTCAATGGGTCCAAGTTATATCATTCTATAACTGTATGATAACATACCTCAACGTTTCTCCTCATCAAAATATAAGTGCATAGAATGTGTCGTATCAGGAGACACCCTAGCACAGTACTTAAATATGCAGATTCTGAAGTCAGACTGCCAGGGACAAAATCTGGCTCTGCTAGTTATGAAGCATACTCCGTGCCTCAGTTTCTTCATCTGCGAAATTAGAATAATAACAGGATGTACCTCACTCTAAAATTCATCTAAAGTGCTTAGAACAGCATCCAGCACACAGTAAGTGCTCAATACATGTTAGCTGTTACGTATTCATTTCAACCATTGCTTACAGACTTCACTGACAGAATCCTGGGCCTTTGGGTATTTGTCATGACCCATGTTTATACCTTAAACCTATGTCAACTTCAGTTAGAAAGATTGGGCTCAGCAGACAGAAGCCCTTGGGGACTGAGGTGCTTTGATGGGGGTACCTGCGGCCCCAGCCAAGCTGGCCCTGTTCCTGCTCTATGAATGCACCCATCCGCCCAGGTTGGGCAATGTGCAGAATTGTTTATGGCGACCTTATTTGTTTTCTTTTCTGTGACTGCTGCCTCCCAAAGGCCAGGAGCTGCTGAAATTAAACCAAGGCAGGGGCCAGGGGAGCAGCCAGGGCCTGGGCCCAGGCCAGGAGTAATGAAGTGGAAAATGTTCACACCACAGGCAGCATTACAATGCACCTGTACAAATAGAATGAGACCTGCCCCCCTCCCTCACAGGGGCCCAACTACCTTAAGACTTCTCTTTATGGCTTTGCTCTCTCTCCCCTGCCTGATCAACAAGTTTAGGACTACAATGGAGATAAGAAACAAAGACAGTCAGAGTGGAGAGGTTAGGGGAGGGATAGAATGAGAGGGAGGTGAAAACAGAGACATCCTTAGCCCAAACATTTCCTGTAAGTTCTGGTGAGTTCTCTGAAAGCCAGGTTGCCTAAAACGGGGAAAATGCACAGTTAACGAGTGTCAACTAGGTGCCGGGATTTTGGCAGGACACTTTCATACATCTTTGTGAATGTCACCCACCCAATATGATTTCACCCTATTTCACAGACAAGGAAACTGAAGTTCAAGGAAACAAAGCCAGCAGGTGACAGAATCAAGATTTGAATCTGGGTATCACCATTCCAATTTTACAATGAAGCGACTCTGAGCGAGAATGTGAGTGACTTTCTTAAAGCCATACAGCTGTTGAGCAGAAACTCAGAGGTGCTGAGCTCCCACTGTGGTGCTCACCACTGCACCCTGAACAGGTGGGACAGTAATGACAAAGGGCCTGGCTTTCCCCAGAGAGAGGAGCTGGAGTTGGGGGCGTCAAAAATCTCCATCAGGATAGAAGATGGAGGACAAAAGAAAGACCAACCTTCGATCAGCATCGCATCGCTCTTGAAGCAAAGTGACTCTGGGTAAGTCTCCGAATCTCAGGGAGGTTCATTGTCTTCATCTCTGAGATGGGAATTTTGTGAGCATGAAGGGAGATGGCGTCTCTGAAAGCCCAAGGATCTGTTGCTCTTCACCTCTCTCAGGCTCCTTCTGCAGTCACTCCCAACTCCTACTGCTGGTGCAACCAGAAGCTTCCTCAGCTCCGTGGGAAAAAGGAAAGGTCAAAAGTAAAGGTCTTTGCCCCTACATATACCCTGGGAGCTCACCTTTCATCACCATCTTCTCTTACATAAGTTGTTAGGATCCTTATAAGAGCAAACAGTTATAGAAATGCATTCACGTAGAATAGACCATCAATAAATGCTAGCACCCTTGACAAACTATGAGTTCTTTGCAGACCAAAGCATATGCTGCTTTTAACCCTCTAATACATAGCATTATGTAGCTCATAGTAAATGCTCAATAAATGTCTATCAAAACTGTCAACGCACTTCCAGAGCTTGTGTCACTGTGCCCCTGATTTCAACACTCATGGTTCGGTGGACATCCAGCAGTTTGGTCCTCTCCAGATGCCAGGTACTTGATACAGGAATACAGAGACCAATTTGATACAATTCTCGAAGGAGATGCTTAGTTGCTTCAAAAGGCTCGCCTAATTCAATATTGGTAATGAGCTACTTTTGTTGCTCTTTGTCATTGTCGCTGTTTTTGTTGTTGTTACTGACTTTTTTTTTTTTCGGTACGCGGGCCTCTCACTGCTGTGGCCTCTCCCGCTGCGGAGCACAGGCTCCGGACGCGCAGGCTCAGCGGCCATGGCTCACGGGCCCAGCCGCTCCGCGGCATGTGGGGTCTTCCCGGACCAGGGCACGAACCCGTGTCCCCTGCATCGGCAGGCGGATTCTCAACCACTGCGCCACCAGGGAAGCCCGTTGCTATTGACTTTTGTGATTATTGTCATTGTTTGTGTCAAGGAGGAAGTCTACACTTTGTAATGTATAAAAATCAGGGTTGGCCTGTGTTGGTAAAATGCTTTGCACTTACTGACTTTTCCCTATTCGATACACTTGCCCTGGTCTTCACTAGGTGCCAGGCAGAACAAGGCACTCACTGCTGGAGAAGCGGACGCTGGAATAAATACCTTTCATACAGGGTGACTCCTGGAACCTTAGAAGCATGTACAGGTGGGAGAGATGAACTCAGCGCAGGAGTGCTGTCCTGAAAGTGCTCATCTGAGTTGGCTTGGAATTCCATCATGGGATGGTCCCTCAATAGACCATATGGCCTTGGCCAGATCTTCTGAACAGCTGGGTGACCTGCATCTGTCAGGGCAAAAAATGTCCAACCATACATGGTCTGTTTCCCTCCATTTAGTGCTTAATGTCACCACTCGAATGGGCACGTCGAATGGGCACGTAATCAGACACTAGCTAGTGCTCTCAGTTACCAGTTTTTCACACGAAGGTTGTGCATAACAGGAACTCCATAAACTTTCGTTGACCCATCTGAACTCAACGACGGAGTCTAGTCCTGCCGCTAGAAGATGGCAAGCTTCTTAAGACTAGAGACAAACCTTAATATTTGTAATCTCTATATCTGCATTTTGATTTCTCTGTCTCCACAGCAGCTGGCTCCTGCTAACCCATCAAACTCAGATGGTCTGCACCTCCCCAGGAGTCTTGCCTGACCCCGAGGCCACCCCCTGCCCTGCGTTCCCGTTGCACCCCAGGCCTCTGCCACCACAGCACCCACCTGCTCGTTTGCTTGCTTCCCCTCCTAGGCTGATCTTCTTGACAGCAGAGAGGGCATCTCCATCATCTATACTTTCCTCTATGCCTGGAACACAGGAGGTCTTCAGCAGACACACACTGAGTGAACGAACAACGAGTATACAGTTTCCCCTAATAGGGTTGAACTTCCCTGAATGGATTTTAAGTTCCCTGTGGACAGGGCCATGTTACCCATTGAGAGTTGGAGTAAGTCAGGCTCCGGAAGTAGGATGTTGATACCAGAAGAGCAAGATGGTGCCAAAGAGTGAAGGAAAAGGACTCCTATTTTTTTTTCCAGTTTTCCCTCACTTTTGGGATTCTTCCTGAAACCTGGGCGTAATTTGTTAAGGAAAACTTCGTGTGTGATTTCAAGTGGGCTCAGGTAGGCCAGGTGTTTCTTGCTATGGGACTGGTCCCAGTCACTTCTCCCAGCTGAGTGGAGTTGCTATGGCTGGGAAAATGTTCTGGACTTGCATCACTGTGCAGGACAGGGGGCAACTCAATCTCTATGGAGAAGGGAGGCTTTGAAACCTCAAACACAAATGCCAGTTTGCTGTGCCTCCAGCATTACTACCAAAGGTCGATATTTCTGGATTATAAACCTTTTTAAGATTAGTTTATAAAACCAAAAGGTGAAAACTCAAAGATTTCCTGTTCTCAGTGGGGAACCCACTTAATTCAGCTAATACTCAGTGTGCTCCATTTAAGAAAAATAGACCTCAAAAACACCACAGAAAAATCACAGAGTGCTTACCTGAAATACAGAAGAGTTGCCTATTTGCAAATGGACTCACCACAACCTTCCTTTAAATGGCAAGCAACCCCACCACTTTGAAACATTTAGATTTCAAAATGTGATACACTTAGCAAACACCAGGCACACTTTGGGGGACAAGGGTGTCTAAACCATCCCACAGTTGTACAATACAATGTCAAGTAAACAGAGAGACAAATATCTACTGTTCCTTATTCCTGTTGAATGTACAGAAGCTTAAATCATTCTTACCTTCAAGGCTTCAACATGCCTGGATGGTCTGACTTTTCTTTGTTCACATACAAACTACATGAACTGAACAGTTTTCTACCTTTCTTAAAAACGAAATGTTAGAACCAAAAGTAACATCAGAAGTCAAGGAAAACGCAACGGTTTTCTCTGTCAGTGAATGTGTGGAGCAGTGTTGAGAAGGAGTCTGAGGCCATGTTTGGATTCAGCTGGAAGGCATGCAGCGATCAGTTAAGGACATCTGTCCTGGTTGTGTGGATGCAGAATAACAACACACCAGGCACGTATTTGTCATCCTTGATCCTGTCTGTAAATCTCAAATTATGGATCATGAAACTGGTGCCCTGAGAGATGAATTGTCTAAGGTCACAAAGTGAATTTCTTTTAAAGGGGCTTGGAATTGTGTGTACATAATCATTAGGCCATTTTTATGAGCTAAAAAATGACTTGTATTCAATCTGTAGGGCTTAGAAAAGTCATCTAGCCTTGGTATGAAGGGTCTCAGGCAGCTGTGATTTCACACCTCCCTTGGGTCAAGCCCCATCCAGGATGTGAGAAAATATACCCCCATTCAATAGCACCATACTACCCACTGGATGGTCCTTTTCAACTGTATTTGAGGTTTAATGAATAGAAATCACCAACACCTTACGTCACCATCTGCCTGAAGCCCCTGGGACCCATCACACCCCAAATTCTTGAAACCCCTCCGTGAATATCAGTCTGGGACACTAATGTTCATCAGAGAGGCGGTGATGCTAACTCTAACATTAAGCCCACGTGCCCTCTGGTCCATGTACAGCTAGGAGTGTCCTCACAAACCATGCACAGATAGAGGACCTCCCTCTCTGTGCTTGAGTGGTGGCTCTGGTGTCCTAACACTTTCCTAGTCATTCAGGCTTTCTATAAGACTGACCCCTCTTGCCTCAGCTAGGTGAGGCCCCTTTTCCATGCTTCCTTAATCCCCTGTAAGTCCCACAATTATGGCACCCATCACACTTTCTTATGACCACCCACTGGAGACAGAGATCTTCACAAGGGCCGGGAGTATGTCTTATTCAACATCATAGCTGTAGTAGGTGAGCACAATGTCTGACCCAGAGTAGGTGCTTCAGAAGTATCTGTTGTAAGAACGAATGACTAGATGGATGAATAACGGCTTCTTCAAGCTTATCAGCACATTGTGGTTTTATCTTTCCCAGAATGATTATAACCCAGTTGTTCCTAAGACAGATTTTCCCAAATAATATTCTGTGAAATCTTGTAATCCATGAGATAATTGTTGTCCTGAAAAATTAATAAATAAGAAGTTTAAAAAACTCTTGGGATTTTTTTTTCTAAAATGTAATTTAATACATATACGTAAGAAATGTGTGCATGTGTGTGTGTCTGTGTATTCTTTAATACAGCATATGATGCATGATGCTTTGGTCAGAAGAAATGGAGAAATGGCATACCCTACGTTAGAATGCCTGGTGCGCTCATGAGAAATTCCTGATTCACAAACCTGGAACATTCCACGACAGCGTGATGCGTAGGCAGCTTGAATCAACTCATGCATGTTGCCTTCTGGATTGTTGGTCTCTGTTACATACATTTCTTATAAGAGCACCATATATTTCTGATATTATTCAATGTTTATTGTACATTAAGCATATGGATCAAAATATGATCATTTCTTACAACTAATAATTCATCCATAAAACTTTTTATTCCTGTCTATTTTCATTCAAATGCACATGATATTTGTAAGGTCCTCAGGTATCCCATCAATATACTATTTTTTTTAAGTTTCTTAGATACATAAGTCTGAGAAGTACTACACTTATCATTGAATTGCTTATATATCCAATTTGCTGGTTTCCTTGGGGAAATTGGCAGAGATTTGGAAATGGAGGGAAGAGTGGATGGGGCGTTTGGGGGTAATAAAATGAGATTTCACAAAAGTTGAAATTTAAAAAGACATGAAACTCTTATAAACCCACTATTAACCAAGATGGTGAGGGAGCTGTAAAGCAAACATGAATAAACAGAAATAAGCTTGTAAAGATAAAAACTCTCAGGTTAGATTTTAAAACAAAAACTAGAGATATTTTTATATAAAAGTCTGGTACATGAACTGTTATGGAAAGTTTAAAATAATAATTATGCAATAGTGTAAGTCAGATAAACAAAGAGAAAGCAGGAAAAATTAAAAATTAGACAAAGCAATTTTAAAATGGCAAAAGATAACAAAAATCATTTCTTATTGATAAAATTAACAAGCCCAGTGAGGACATAATAGTAATAAGCTCATTAAAACTTAAAAACAGCAGTTTTGAAAAATAACCAAAAGAAGTGGAAGATTTTAGAAGATTTTAGATATTAGAATACTAAAGTTCTACTTAGATAACTTACTATTCTTAAATAAGAAAATGGAATTAATAAACATTTTCACCAAAACATACTTAATGAATCCTCCATGCTAGAGAAAGAATGATGGGAAATAGAAAAAAAACTATGAAGACTAGAATTAATTAATTTGAAAGCAAAAATAAAGTATATAGTGACTTGCATATAAATTTATGTCATATATATGTGTGTGTACATATATATATATATCAATAACCGAGGAACAAATTAAGAAAATTATCATTAGGATCACCCTTTCCCTTGGCCTCACAGTCTGTCTCAGAACCTCCAGGCTTTATATGGTGAATTCTTTTATACTTTTAGATAAGAGATTGTCATGCTACCGGAAGTTCCCAGAACATAGGAAAATATGAAAAGTTATCTCATTTATATTATAAAGCTATCATAAATCCTTATATTAAAATGTGAAAGATATCAAAATGAGTAATTATAGTTCAATCTCACATATTAATATATCTGTGAAAATTCTAAATAAGATGGTAGTGGGTTGAATTTAGTGTGTATTAAAAAGAATAAAATGCCATGACTAAGCAGGGTTTATCCCAGGAATGCAGTGATTCCAAAGTTCCTCTTGATGAATAAACAGGGGACAAATACAAAGATGATTTGGACTATAATAATAATAGTTGAAGAACTACTCTTGATAAATATTAAACCATATCACAAGACTATAATTAATAAAATAGTATAATACCAGTACAAAAAAACATAGGCAGACAAATGGAATACAATAAACATGAGAAATAGTCCCCATTTTACATTCAAATAGAATGTATAATAATAAGGATAATATAATGAGTATAATAAAGGGGAGGGAAAAGAGAAGAGAGGGTATGGGTCAGGAGGGGAGGAGAACCACAGCTGTCTTAAAATAACTTAGGACCATTGGCTGAAAGAGGAGTCCTTCTTCTAGTTTAGGCTTCAAAGATCAAATTAGAGCAAGGGGAAAGCAGGGAGGAGGATTTCTGCTCAATATAGAAAAAGCATCACAGCTATCAGCCTAGTCCAAATGGGGATGCAGCTGCCTCCAGAAAGAATGTGCAGATTTGCTACTTAATTTGTGGGAACCAGTGCAAAATGAAAATGTGGGACTCCTTGTTCAAAATTACAAAGACTTTAAGATGGCAGCAGCATTGCGTTAAAGCAGACGAGGTCGTGGGAATGCACAGGCTGCAGCGGCCCTGGGTGTGTTTCCCATCTCGGTGAGACAGGGACTGGAGGAAAGCTTGGTGTCAACATTGTCGAGTGACTTCAAGTACAAGACTGAAAGCCTAAGTGTTTCATTCTAAATTAATCAATGATAACCATTGTCCTCACACTCACATTTCCATCAAAACTAAGAGGCAGGACGTAGACACACCCTCAGGCTGCCATTTTGAGACCTATCTCTTTCTCCATTGAATTGCCTAGAACTATATCAGTTATGTAGTGCTTGCTCATTATAGGCTGCTGAAATAGGAAACATTACTTTGCATTACATAATCTTACTGTCCCACAGCATTTCCACACAGATCACCTCTTTTGACCATAATAGAAGCATTATTTTGTCCATTTTACCTGAAAGGACAGTCAGACCCAAGCAAGTTCTGCTGTGCCCAAGTCATACAGCTGGTGACCTCATCTAGGCTCTTCTGATGCTAAGTCATTCCGTTATTTATTTATCTGAACTTCTGCTCATCTGAACACATACTCTGTACCAGGCCCCCTGGTAGGCTCTGGGGACTTCACAGTTCCAGGGCTTAAGAGCTCCTGGTTTAGTGGGGAAGACTGCCAAATAAACAAGTTCCACCACATCATGAGATAAATAAAATGGAAACAATGCAAGTGAGTACAAAGAGCAGAAGTAGCACAGAATGCTGAACTCTAAAGGGACCAAGGGAGGCTTTCCAGAGAAAGCAGTCTCCTAGCGGTCTTTGAAGGGTGAAATTCAGTGTTTCCCATTGCACAGCTGAATTGAACAGACACAAAAAAAGGCATAACCTCCCCTGGTTTCTCAAGGGAATTTTTCTGGCTCAGAAGCTTCTCATTAGTTGATCTGACCCACCAATGGGAACTTTGTGTCACAAGAACCATTTGTAGAAACGAATTTCTGTTGCAAGTGAGCCTGGGTTAGGCGGGGACCACCGTGGAGCCCAGTGATGTCCACACCCGAGAAGTGCTTTCTAAGCATTG